TATTATGATATTCATCAAATGTTAAAATAATTATCCTAGTTTTAATCCCCTAAAAGACATTAAAGGTTGCAATTAAAAGTTCAAATTTAGCTTTTTTACAATTATCTTTCATCACATTAAATGATGATCAAACTCAGACATCATGGTCCCTCTGCAGCCAGAAACAGTGAAGGTCACTGCTTTAATTAATGACGCTGCATGACATTAAACTATTACAAGACTTTGTAATTAAGATGGTTTATGCACAACAAAAAGGACACGACTTATTTTTTTGAAAAGGGCTTTCTTTTCTTTCTGACAGTTCAATCTAAGTCTGATGCCAAACTCCCCAGCATGCAATTCTAAAGGACATAAAAATGATTAGTTTTTCACACCTCTAAATGGCTCACAGATGTTTCATTATCCTGCAGGTGTTTTTGTGAATAGCCTGGTTTTTCCTCGAGCCCAGAGAGGCCCATCAGACACAGGAACTCTGCCGTCCCACAGGGGGATGAACCAAACACCTGGCTGGAGAAATCACTTGCTAAATGACCAAGCTCAACAAAAAATCCATTAGACGTCTGCATCTGCATACACACATACCACATGAGGCTTACAAAATTCAAACAGCAGCCCAATTTTACTGTCCTTTACAACACTATCTGTAATCGACGCAGTGCATAGCCACATTAAACGGCATTGCATCAGATTTGTTTGTTCAATTTCTGTAGTTCTGTTGTTGATTTTGTTTTGCTAAGTATTGTAAAAAAGCTTGTAATTGTAAAGACATGAGCAGTTTTGTTCGCCCAAGGAGGAGTTGGTTGCCAAGCAACTGGTGAGTCGAGCAATGGTGACAATGAACAGCGGGACAAAACATTTTGTGTAAAAATAAATAAATAAATGGAATAAAATTACAAATTAAAGGTGAGAGATATTTCTATGTCCATTTAGTGTGTTTTCTTTAGTTTGGCTTTCTTTAGACATTCTTAAATTACTTCATGCATCACATTTTTTAAAATGTGATTTCAAAAGCTGTTTTGTTCTCGTTAAATATGGCACTGTTGATGGGATCAATGTGATGGATCTTAACCTTTCTGTGAACATCTCGGCTGCTCACTTTGATACGCGTTTTCAAACTAAAGTCATCATAGGTCAATATACAAACTGTTTTCATATATAGTATATACACTGGCAGCATTTTTTGTGTGTATGCAGAAAAACCTACATCTGCAATAGACACATTAAATGGCACAGTGACATGAAAAATGTGCAGGCTTATTCCGCTCCTATAACTACTGTGTCAAACATTGTTTGGGAAAGTGGCGTGCAACAGTTCTGTCACGTTACACAACAATATTCCCTTCTGTAAAACACATTCATTAAGAAATGTGTTAATGTGATAGCTAACTTTTGCTACATGCTAATTTGTTTATAAAGTATCCATCAATTATCTCTACCTGCCTCTTCCATTCTGGGACTCATGGTGCCCATATGCAGCCATCACTGTGTGAGAGGCGGGGTACACGCCGGACATGTCGCAAGTCCATCACAGGGCCAAGTCATTTATAAAGTGTAAAATAAATAAGTGCTAGCTTAAGAAAATAAACATGTTCACAAAGGAAATGTGACAGGAGACAGAAGGAGAAGAGGAAAGTCAAGAATGCAGGACTGAGGGCTGCAACTCTATATGTGGGGAAATGACAGGCAAAGGTAGCGAACTGGTTGACATGATGCAGAGAAGGAAGGTAGATGTTGTATGTGTCCAAGAGACAAAGTGGAAGGGCAGCAAGGTTCACAACATTGAAGCAGGGTTTAGACTGTTTTGCCATAGTATGGATAGAAAGATAAATGGCATAGGGGTGGTACTGAAGGAGGAGTTAGCAAAGAATGTAGTAGAGGTGAAAAGAGTGTCAGATGTCAGGGTGATGTTTCTGAAGGTAGAAGTAAAAGGTTTGATGCTAAATGTCAAATGGTTATGCTCCACAGATTTTAGAAGAAAAATATACATTTTGGAAGGGCCTGGATGAAGTGATAGAGTATTCCCAGGGAGGAGAGAGTGGTGATCGGAGCAGACCTGAATGAACATGTTGGTGAAGGAAACAGAGGGGATGAGAAAGTGATGGGTAGGTTTGGTGTCAAGGAAAGGAACCAGGAAGAACAGAGGTTGGTAGATTTTACCAAGAGAATGGAAATGGCTGTAGTCAACACTTATTTCCAAAAGAGGGAGGAACATAGAGTGGCCTATAAGAGTGGAAGGAGTACGCAGGTAGACTACATTATGTGTGTGGCAGGGGAGAGCGTGGCCAGGTAGCATTGGATGGTTGTGTGCAGAATGACTGTTGTTGTGACGACGAGAAAAAACGTAAAATCAGAGAAGAAAAGTAAATGGTGGAAGTTGAGGAAAAAGAATGCTGTGAGGAGTTCAGAGAGGAGCAGTTAAAGGTTCTGGGTGATAAGAAAGCGCTTCCAGATGACTGGACTACTATAGCAGCAGTACCGTAATTAGACAGACGGGTGGTGTGTCATCTGGACAGAGAAAAGATGACATGGAAACCTGGTGGTGGAATAGTGAAGTGCAAGAAGCTGATCAAAGAAAGAGGTTAGCCAAGAAGAAATATGACAGTGGGGGGACTGAAGAGAGGAGACAGGAATATAAGGAGATGCAATGTAGAGCAAAAAGGGATGTAGCTAAGACAAAGCAGAAGGCATATGATGAGTCGTATGGGAGGCTGGACACTAAAGAGGGTGAGAAGGACTTGTACCGATTGACAGGACAGAGAGCTCAGGCTAGAAAATATGTGCACCAGGTTAGGCTCGGAATGGTAGGGATGGCAACAAGTGAGAAGAGTGTGACGGGAAGGTGGAAGGAGTATTTTGAGAAGCTAATGAATGGAGAGAATGAAAGAGAAAGAAGAGTAGAGCTACTCTTCGAGGTAAGTAAGGAAATTTTATTTATATAGCACCTTTTACAAATCAGAAATCACAGAGTGCTTCACAGAATATAAGACATAAAAACACAGAAGACACAAGATAAACCAGAAGGGGAGATAAAACAAACTTGCATATGACATAAGACAAAATAAAACAAATTAAAAGCCAATCTGAACAAATGTGTCTTCAGCTGCTTAAAAAAAAAAAACCCAAGGCAACACAAAGTCAGAGGCAAAACATTCCACAGTCTGGGGGCCACAGCCCTAAAAGCTTTATCCCCTCTAGTCTTAAAATGAGTCTGTGGGACCATTAACAGCTTTTGACTGGAAGATCTGAGGTTCCAAGAAGAGGAGTAGGGCTCAAAAATGTCAGAGATATAGACTGGGGCTTGACCACTTAGGGCTCTAAAAGTAAGAACTACACTTTTTAAAATTAATTCTAAAATGTACCAGTAGCCAATGCAAACAGATTAAAATTGCCGTTATGTGCGGTCTTTTCCGTGTGTTGGTTAAAAGCCTTGCAGCAGCATTCTGAACTGTCTGCAAACGATCCAAGATCCTTCTTGGTCAAACAAAGACTGTTACAATAATCCAGATGGGATGTAATAAAAGCATGGATAATCATCTCTAATATCACATCTCACATATCTGAGGGTGATAAAATGTCTGAGGAAGAGAGGAGAAGTGTGCTGGTGCCCATTTTTAAGAACAAGGGTGATGTACAGAGTTGCAGCAGCTACAGGGGAATTAAGTTGATGAATCACACAATGAAGATCTGGGAGAGTTGTGGAAGCTAGACTTAGATGAGATATGACTATTTGTGAGCAGCAGCATGGTTTCATGCCAAGAAAGAGCACCACAGATGCATCTTTGCTTTGAGCATGCCGATGGAGAAGTACAAAGAACTTATTTGGGTCTTTGTGAATTTAGAAAAAGCATATGACAGGGTGCCGAGGGAGGAGGTGTGGTATTGCATGAGGAAATCTGGAGTGGCAGAAAAGTATGTTAGACTGGTACAGGACATGTATGAGGACAGCAGGACAGTGGTGAGATGTGCCATAAGAGTGACAGATAGCTTCAAGGTGGAGGTGGGATTGCATCAAGGATCGGCTCTGAGCCCCTTCTTGTTTGCTCTGGTGATGGACCGACTAACAGATGAGGTCAGACAGGAATTCCCGTGGACTATGATGTTGCAGATGACATTGTGATTTGTGGTGAGAACAGGGAACAGGTGGAAGAGAATTAGGAGAGGTGGAGGTATGCACTTGAAAGAAGATGAATGAAAGTCAGCCATAGTAAGACAGAGTACATGTGTGTGAATGAGGAGGCAGGTGGAACAGTGAGGCTAGGAGATATATGGATGCAGTTAGAGAGGACATGGAGGTAGTTGGAGTGAGGATAGTGACATGGAGGAGGATGACGTGCTACGGTGACCCCTGAAGAGGGAAAAGATGAAAGAAAAACTAAGAAATTGAACCAAACCCTTAAATCTGAAACCTATGACAGTAAGTTAACCAATAATGTCACAGAAACTAAAAAAACTGAAATAGGATTGGAACAATACGATGCTGAAATACAAACCTTTTATTGATCTTAAGCTGCCATTTTCCCATTCTTCCCTTTATCACTGAGCTTTCTGTGAGCACAACTAAATAAAAAAAATAACAAAAGATATTCATTAAATCTTCACATATTCAAAGTCACATAATATACATTAAACTAATAAATAAAATTTAAATGGATACCTGTTTATAATGCCCTTCCTTCCTTCATGTCCATGAGTGGCTGCATATTTGGTACATTAACTGCCTTGCTTCTGAACAAACTTCAGGCTACATAACTAAAGATAAAGTGTTGTTCCATTCTTTTTTAGAAAAAAAAAAAAATAATAATAATTCCCCGTTTTTATGCCCCAAGCTTTTAGGCAAAGCATTTCCACCCACAACTCATGCAAACAGATTTCTTCAGCATGAGCGCAACAGTCAGGTCTCGTTTATTTTTTTCATAACACCTACACAAACTGAAAACTTCAATGTTACACGTACAACAAATCAAAAATCACTTAAAAAAATAACAATGCAAATCCCAGCAAATTACAAAAACTGAAATATGAACAATGAACTTTTACAAACGTTTAGATAACTCGTCTTTCTGTGAGTGTTCAGGCACTGAAGCAATCCACTGATTTTTTTGAATTCCAGGGTCCGGCTTGGAAGTTCAGGAAATGTTCTTTGACCAGATCTTTAACTGTTTGGTACACAACAGCTTCCATCTGTGAAGCAATAAACCTTTATTTAAGCAAAACACAACATGACTGTGAAACTAAACACTCCAGTTTAATTTAACATAAGAGATCTGTCCATTTTTTTTTAATTTTTTTTTTTAGGTTTGGATCAAACATGTCTGTCATTTTTAAATCAATTCATGCATCACACTTTTTACGTTGTGATTATCTGTTTTATTCTTGTAAAACCTGGCACCTCTGATGGGATCAACTTGTGACGGCTCTTAGTCGTTCATCTGAACAGCTCTGCTGCTCACTTTGATTTCACACATATAAAGTTGAACGAACATTCAAGCATAATTTACAGCACATAGGTCCTAAGTATTGGTATAACATATCTGAACACTGACCAGCCACATACCTTGACACTGTGGTAGGTGGGAAGCTCCAGCAGGTAGCTGTGCTCACCCAGCTGTGCAACTTGTTGGAAGTAACTGTAGAGGGCTCTCTTGCAAAGTCTGCTTGAGAAGCTGGGACCACTCACATATGGAGAGCTGGGATACAACAAAGTGCATTTAATAAGTATCCTTCCAAATAATGTTTCTTTTAGATAGCAGCTTGACTTAAACTGACTTTGTACATTAGTCAGCACACAAAGTCTAACGCCAAAGTTCATGCTCATTAATTCAGATTTAAATCCAACAATACATCTGGACGGTTTCTTTTGTTGCTGAGATGTTTCGTCCTTCATTCGAAGGAAGCCTACTAATTTAGAGCCCAATCATTTAAAAAAGTAGAAGCATTTTTAAATGATTTTAAATGCTTACATTTTAAAATATTGAACATTACCTGTTAACACACCATGTGATTTAACATGCAATATGAACATTTGTTTGCTAACACTTGAGGAAAACTTGTTAAAAAAATGACAATTTTATTTTAAATATGGTTTTAAATGAACAAAATAAATCAAAAAGTAGCCTATTATTCATCAAGCACTTTGGTTACGTCATGTGTCTTAAAAGTAAGCATTCAGTTCTTGCTTTAGAGTTTGTGTGCACCAAATATAAAAATCTATTTGGACATTCAATACGTTTACACGGCTGAAGCAATCTGTGATTGTGAACTGGCTGAATAGGAGAAAAGAAGGTTTCCAGCAGGCAGCACTTAGAACCCCTGAAGTGAAACCTTAGGATCTGACCTGTTTTGTTTATACAGATCAGTTTGGAGAAAATATAGAGTGACATCAATTGTTGTTTGTGCCTCTAAAGCCAAAAGATGGCAGGAGCCCCAGGCCATGCAGGAGCTGTCACACAAACCAGCTGCACAAAACTCAGAGTTCATCACGGGAAGAAACAGGCAAGTACTCAGTAAAAACACAAAACAGGATTGGTCATATATTTGTAAATGAGGACAATGAATATAATTTTCCCCTTCTACTGTTTATCAGAAAAAATTTTACTTGTTGACCAGCTTACCCCTCAACAGCAATGCCCTTGCTGCTGTCCAGAACTTCAATGTCCTTATCTCCAAGACACCAGTTGATGCTGAAGTTGTGATGTGGGGGGTGCGTCACAGAAGGTCCAATGTGGTCAGTACTGAGAAAGATGATGTTGTGTTTCTTGTATGACGGAGGCAGGATTCCCTCCCATCCATCTCCAAGTCGCTTGTTGGTGATGTCAGACACTTCCTCGTTCGAAATCTTCTGACCTCCTAAATTAAATTTAATTAGTGGTAAAAAATTTAAATGCCCTCATCGGTGAAATCCATCCGTTGTGTCTCTATGTTAAGTATAAAGTTACAGCCTGCACAAGACGGACACACTGAAGAGGACTCCATGATCATTGCATGGTTTTAATTTGAAAATAAAAAGTCATTTAAGTTGTGGCAAACAAAAGCATTAGTCGAGTTTCTGCAAGTTCAGTTAAATTCAACAACTTTTAAAGTGAAATTTCCTTTGAAGTGACAAATGTTGTTTTACAGAATTTTTATTAACTGAATGTCCATGAGTATTTGTTTTGACGGGACTACAGCATGATCTGACTTAATTTTGTTATAGCGCAACATCAGAAACCCTCAGGCAGAACTACAGACACAAAACGAATGCTGACGGTGTCAAAAAAATTGAAGCAATGAATGAATGTACAAATTTTAGACGTAACTAAATGTATTTTAAAGGCCTAAAATGGGAAATCTGAATGTATTGCAAATTTGTTAAGGCCTAAAATTGAAATGATTAAATTTATGACTTTTTAAGAGCCTGCAGAAACCAAGATTAATGTCAAAGACCTTGGCTGGCTGAGTCATCTGACTTCCTGTTTGTTCTCCACACAATAGACGTCATCTTTAAAAGCGCCTTACATATATCCAAATCTCACTGAACCAAATGTTAAAAAACAAAAAGCAAACAGGAGAAAAGCACAAAATCTGTCTCCAAGCACCTCTAAAACTTGGAACAACCCAGTTCCTAAACTTCAGATTAAAAACCTATAAGCCCCTCATCATGTTGTCACACTGTTTCTTGGTTACTGCGTCAGATTTGATACCTTTAATAACATAATTTTCAGTGTTAAAATAAAATACACATTTTTCAAACATGTGATTTAGGAAATGACAGCTTAATTTGTACCTTACCTAGCACTATGCTGGTGATGTAAAGGGGCTGAATGAAGTGACTCAGTAATGCACCCTGAACTCCAGTGACAGTCCAACGACACAACTTGTCACTCCCGGACACGCAGCACACTCTGGCACCCCACAAACTCGGCTCAAGGTACGCTACAGGAACAAGCAGGCCCTTGGCATGATACTGCAGCTTCATCGTGGTCCAAATCTCATCTGTTGAATCCCTAAGTGTGAAATGACATATTTGGTTAATTTAAAAACATCCTAACACAGAGCACAATTTATCTAAAGTTACAACACATACTAAGACAAAAAAACTATATATTCAAGAAGCTCTACTCCAATATCTCGATGTCTAAAAATCTGAACATTTTTTAAATTGAAATTACAATAATGCCCTTTCATGCAAAATATAGCTTTGGGAATGTAGTATTAAAATCAAAGAAGTGACTGATAGACAGTCAGTTGTACTTGAAGTAGAAATCCTTCGCAGCTCCTTCAGGGCACTGATTGGTGTAGAGATGCAGGCTGATTTTGGGTTTGAGCTGCAGTTGATGGTTTTCTGGACTGTTCTCAAAAATACTGTTCTCCTTAGACGTTGGATCAGCATCCAAAAACAGCAAAAGCTGTTTGTAAAGAAACCTGAACACGACAGAAAAAAAAATGCAGCTCTTTTAGTGAACCAGACACATTTAGCAAGGATAAACCAAATGCCAGTCTGACATTCAGAACTTTACACTGAATATTAAAGGAAGTATTTAAATATTAGAAAATTACAGTGCATCTGAAAAGTATTCACAGCACTTCAATTTTTCCACATTTTGTTATGTTACGGTCTTATTTCAAATTAAACTCTTTCCTCAAACTTCTACACACAATAACCCATTATGACAATGTAAAAAAGGAAAAAAATATATTTTTTCAAATTTATTAAAAATAGAAAACTAAGAACTCACATTTACGTAAGTATTCACAGCCTTTGCTTCATACTTTGTTGATCCACCTTTGGCAGCATTTACAGCCTCCAGTCTTTTTGAATATGATGCTTCAAGCTTAGCACATCTACCTTTCGGAAGTTTGTCCCATTCTTCTTTGCAGAACTTCTCAAGCTCCATCAGGTTGGATGGAGATGTCTCTGCAGCCATTTTCAGATATCTCCAGAGATGTTCAATCAGATTAAAGTCTGGACTCTGGCTTGGCCACTCCAGAACCTTCACAGGGTGGTCCTGAAGCCCCTCCTCTGAGATCTTGGCCATGAGCTTTGGGTCATTCATTGTCCTGTTGAAAAATTAACCGTCACCCCAGTCTGAGGTCAAGAGCACCCTGGAGCTAGCTGTTTTTTATCCAGGATGTCTCTACATTGCTGCATTCATCTTCCCCTCTGTTCCGACTAGTCTGTCAGTTCCTGCTTCTGAAAAACAGCCAACAGCATGATGCTACCACCACCATGCTTCACTGTAGGGATGATATTGGCCTGGTGATGACTGGTGCCTGATTTCTTCCAAACAGTTCAATCTTTGTCTCATCAGACCAGAGCATTATTTTTCTCATGGTCTGAGTTCTTCAGGTGCATTTTGGCAAACTTCAGATGGGCTGCCATGTGCCTTTTATTAAGAATGGCTTTCATCTGGCCACTCAACCATACAGGCCTGATTGGTGGATTGCTGCAGAGATGGTTGTCCTGGATTTGTTCTTCTCTCTCCACAAAGGAACGCTGAAGCTCTGACAGAGCGGACCATCGTATTCTTGATCACCTCCCTGACTAAGGCCCTTCTCCCCTGATCGCTCAGTTTAGACAGTCAGCCAGCTCTAGGAAGAGTCCTGGTGTTTCAAACTTCTTCCACTGACGAATGATGAAGGACACTGAGCTTATTGGGACCTTCAAAGCAGCAGATTTTTTTTCTGCATCCTTCCCCAGATTTGTGCCTCAACACAATTCTGCCTCAGAGGTCTACAGACAATTCCTTTGACTTCATGCTTCATGTTTGCACTTTGACATGCGCAGTCAGCTGTGGGACCTTATATAGACAGGTGTGTGCCTTTCCAAATCAAGTCCAATTGAATTGATTCCAAATGAATTTACCACAAGTAGACTCCATTTAAGTTGTAGAAACATCTCAAGGATGATCAGTGGCAACAGGATGCATCTGAAATAAAGCTGTCATTTCTAACCCAAATCCAGAACCTCACACAACCATTTGACCCTGGGCTGACTGGCCTTGAAAGAGGTAAAAAGTTCAGTTAAGCTTAAGATGGACTACTGCCAGCGATCCATCAGCCCAAATGGACGTTCATTCAGCCGCTGCACTCAGCTCTGATCTTCTGCCCCCTTTACTCAGCTGTGCGCATCTGCCAACCGTTAAAACAGGACCTGTAATTACTGTTAATTCATCGGATCGGGTGGGGTTTGGAAATGATGGCTACGGGCTGGGGCCGAGTCGGGTCGGATTTTTTGGACCCGAATGCAACTCCAATCCGAGTTCAATTTTGAGCTTCATGGCCAAGGCTGTGAATACTTATATAAATGTGATTTCTTAGTTTTCTATTTTTAATAAGTTTGCAAAAATATAAAAAATATATATATTTTTCACATTGTCATAATGGGGTATTGTGTGTATAATTTTGAGGAAAGAGATTAAATTAATATAATTTGGAATAAGGCTGTAACATAACAAAACATGGACAAAGTGAAGCACTGCAAATACTTTCCGGATGCACAGTATGTTATGATTTGGTAAAGTATAAGCTGGCCATTTTTCTCTCCATCACACTACAAATTCAACACTCTATTATGAGCATTCTTGAGATTTGTATGAGGTGGTTATTCATTCCCTAAAGGAGCATTTTGTACCTCAAGAGAGCCCTTCTGGCGATGATGATGGCATGACAGTCATGAACCATCATCCCATTGTAGCAAAGCCACTTGCTGCAGCTTGAATGGCCAGCTCCCACAGCCACCACTTTGTAATGCTCACATGGACGACCTGCTGTATCCAGCACCTCTGTGGGGAAAGGAAACCCTTCAGCAAAAACATACTTTAATAGTAAACCCAAGGAGTGCATTCAGCTCACCTCTTATCAAGACAAATGTTGCCATGTGGCTTTTACAGACAGAAAAATTTGAATACATTTTCAGGAGGCTGTCAAACTTCTCATTGCTTAAAGCTGCCATGTGATTCTTGTGCCAGTCAAATTGCCAAACTGTAAGATACACAAAAGATTAAAAAAAGCATGAAAATTTAAAAACGATCAAATCCTAAAAATAAAGACTGGCATAATATGCAGTGCCTTGATTTACTTATTAACACACATTTTTCCACTTGAAAATCACAGGTTTAGAACTACAGTAGTTCCTCGATTCTTTGCAGTTCGACTTTAATGGGTTTTCATTGTAAGATTGTACACATTGTTTCTCAGTGGCCTGGCTGCGCAATGATCACCGAGGGGCCCCCTCCTTTCTCTTTCTGAGGCTGTCAGCCTCAGAAAGAGAAAGGAGAGCGCTGGGGGTGGGGTCTGTCTTTCACCATTGCTGCTGTGGGAGTTTCAGTGAGGCGGACACCAGAGTGAGCGGCATGGATTGGTTATTTGAAATAATCAAGCGCGACCCGAACCAAGCCTGGTATTCCTGATGGCCAGTTCGCCCCCGGGCGCTGACCGGCTCAGTAACCGTAGCATCAGTGTGTCTGCTCTCTTTCGCTGTGCTCTTTTAGAGCATTTAGAATATTATTAAGAACATTGCAAGAGTGTGAGAAGGGTTTATAAAGCCTTAAAACATATATACAGTAGTTCCCTCATTTATCGTGGGGGATCCAAACCCTGAAGCCTTGCGATGAGTGAAAAACCACTAAGTAGGAATAGTAGTACAAGTAGTTAGTAGTAGTTTTAGTATTTATATATTAAGGTATTTTAAACAATTCCCACACTTATTGCAGGGGCTACCTTCCAGACATCCCTGCGATAGGTGAAAATCCGTGAAGTAAGGACATTATATTTATTTTAGTATTTACAGTAGTCCCTCACTACTTCGCGGTTCATTTATCGCAGACTCGCTCTATTGCGGTTTTTCAAAATAAGATTGGACATGACACACAATTGGCTGATTGATGGACGAGCCGCACAATCAGCATGGAATTTTTATTTAAAATTAATTATTTAAACTTTTTCAGCACCTGCTGCACACTTGTTCTCCGTGCAGAGTGGAGAAGTGGGCGTGGCCAAGAACGCTTGCAGGTGGCTGAGAGCAGCGGAGGCAGGGAGCTGAAATCATGACATTCTGTGCTTTTTTAGAGCATTTAGAGTTTAGAAACATTGTTTAGAATATTGCAAGAGTGAGGGACTACTGTATTGCATTATACTTTTGTTAGCCACTTTATCTGACTCCAACAAAAAAAATAAACCAAATTATCTTCAACAAGATTCTAAACAATCTTTAGTCTGAAGAAAATTACTCATATTTTATGTACATTGACAGTTTCTCAGGATTATTCACCTGCAAAGTGGATGCATTAAAAATCTTTAGTGACCATGGCTGAATTTTTGTTTCCATGTTTCCATGGCAACATCAGAGTGCTGCATTCGTTTCTCTGCAGTCTTAATTTTTCATTCTGGACTTCAATCTTGTGTATAGATGCAACTCAGATGTTTAGTGACCTGTTCTTATGGTTTATATATATATTTTTATTTTTGTAATAAAGAAGAAGCAGATATTGGTGTAAGTCACATGACCGTGTGACTAGGAAGTGAATCAAGCCCCTTTAAGAGACAGAAAATTAGTGGAGGGACGAGTGGAGAAACACATTCAGTCAGTGCTCCTGTTTGTTTTTGCAACTGGTCTAGCTGGCAAACACTATAATGAATGTTTAATTTTCATTTCATTTTACAACAGTACATTTGATTCTATCTTCAGGGATCCCCTTAAAGATTGCTTTAAAAACTCCCTTTTTAATCCCCGCCCCCAATAATAAGGTGGAATTTCCACTCTTGATTGTGAGATGGTCTTTTTTACGTGGACAATTCATACCCAAAGAGAAACTGTGGGGGACAAGTCCTTGTGAGCCCTCCTTGTAGATTAAAACAGAAAATTCTATGATTTAATTTTTTTATGCATAGAGGTTACCCAAGCATCCAGTGGGTTGGATGACTAACCCGACCCCTCCACCACCCCAAACCACACATTTGAGAGCTTTTTCTTGCATACAGGTCACCTCTTTAAGGTTTTCATGTAAAGACGATTATACTGTGTACATAACCTTAGTAAAAGTACACAGTATGCTGTGTACATGACCTTAGTGAATGCACAAAGTATTGTGTTCCCTAATGAAGCACCATCAAAACCAACATCATTCTGAAGGAAGAGACAGTTTTAACAACTTTTCTCTAGTTTATTTTTATGTCATTTCATTGTTTTCAATTAAGGGTCTGTCAGATTTATTTTAATAAAAGCACATCCTTTGCAGAAAATAAATTAACTTTATTTTTGTCAGACTGACAAATTTCTTAAATTATTTAATTCAAAGGGGTTATATTTACAGGATTTCAACTCATGTAGTCATTTAATAAAATTAATTTTCATATTTGATAATTTAGTGAATTTCACTTCTCACAGTAGTTACTTCTCAGTATGGTTCTAAATATAACCAAGTTTAGCACATCCAAACAGACACGACGCCTTGTTGCTATAACACTGTGTAGAATTTAATTTTGCAGATATTGATGATAAACTACAAACACCTAAAACTGACTCTCAGAGAGAACTTCATGAGTTTAAAAGGTAAAAAAATTAAAGTTATATAGAGACGAACAGCTCTGCTATAATCTGGGGCATAAATATTCATCATTTAGTGTTAATATTTATAAAAACAAAACAACTAAAGCAGCAGAAACAGCCTCTCACCGAGAGAGAAACTCATCAGGCTGCACGCTGCCACACCAGTGCACGTCTCTCTCCGTTTCTTGGACCTGGAGTTTGATCACGTGTGCAGGTTGCACGTATGTATGATGACGATGCTCTAAACACATTAACGTTTAATACAAAGTTGGATTTTAGATACAAAAGTCCCGGGAGGTCGGAGCATGGTGCGGGAGGAGGGATATGGTGATGGTATTTCAGGTTTGGTATCTTTTCTGGATACAGTGAATTGGTCATGTGCCAACACATACGTTTAATACATAAACGTTTAATAATTTATTACATGTCATCATCATCCATAAAAGGGTGGGTGTTTCTAGGTAGCGGGGTGTCCTCCTTGGTTTCTCTCTGCTGCTCACAGCTGGGCTCAATGTGCATCAGACAGCACGACCCGCCCTGCTCTGCTCTGATAGGTCCAATTATGGCTCTGGTTCTCTTTATTGGTTAAAAGCAGCAGTATCATTATTAGATTGGATGGCTTTAACAAGACCACAATAGAAAACGTTTTTTCCCCCTCTTCATTTTAACAGATGATCGTTGAATATTGTGTTTACAGTTTCTTAAATCTGTGTTGTAAATCAAGTATTCTTTTCACATTCACTTCCTTACCATTCCCTTTATTCTAACACAAACTCACACGATCTTCTACCCCTATCCAGTTTATTGCTGCTTTTTTTTTTTTTAATTCTGATATAAAGATTCAATCTTCCTAAATGTTCAAATGTTAATTAAGCAAACACTCATGTTAGTATCATAGAACATCTGTGGCTTCCAAACCTTGGTGAAATTACTTATTAGAATTACCAAGCACAAACTTAACCTAAAGCCAGAAAAACTCAAGTTTTTCCACAAAGTTTTGATCCAAAAGAATAAAAATGTTTGACCACTGACTACTAACAAACTTGGAAACTTCTCATTAGAAGTGTTCAAATTTGTTTTGCATAGTAAAAATATTAAAAAGAACAAATCTGCACAAGTAAAATGGTAGTTTGCATGGAAGACCTGCCCTTGAGCTGACAGACTGTTTTGGTCTACTTAATTTAAAAGAAGAATAAAAACTAGAGCTCATAATTGGACAACTAGGGAAGCACGATATTGGCCAATATTAGCAATAAAGTAAAATATCATCCATCGGCCATTCCATCAAAATAACTCAACGATATAAATAAAACAGTGCCTTTTATATTGGTGAGTTATATTGATTTATATAAATATATATACATATATATTATTTTTGAATAGAATTGGATTGAATTGAAAAAGAAAAAAAATATG